AGCTCGCTGAAATGGAATTAAGAGAAAATTTTAGTTGAATCGAACTTTTTATGAAGATTACTGTAAATTTATGAACGATATCCTGTGTAATGGTTGTGCTGAAGAAGTACCAACAAGTTTACTAGATAGAGATCATGGTAAAGTGTATTATATTCCACATCACGGTATTTGCGGTTCTAGTGAAAAGAAGAGTATGAAGATTCGCATAGTTTTTGACTGTTCAGCTAAGTTTCGAGGAGTTTCACTGAATGCCCAGACCAAACTTAACAAACAAATTAGTAGGTGTATTGATGAGATTCGGGCAAAAAACGTAGCGATTATGGCAGATGTGAAGTCAATGTTTTTCCAGGTACGAGTTCCAGAAGATGATCGAGATTATCTTAGATTTTACTGGTGGAGAGAGGGGAATTATGAACTTAGTCCGGAAATATTTAGAATGACAGTGCATCTCTTTGGAGCCATATCCTCATCAACATGTGCCAATAGAGCGCCCCTGGGATGGCAGATACAATTAGAAGAAACTTTTATGTTGGTCATTGCTTGAAGTCAACAGACAGCCTGGAAAAGGCCATAACTTCAGCTGAAGTTTTAACTAAACTTTGTAGGATAAGAGGATTCAAACTCACGAAATAGATTAGCAATCATAGAACTGTCCTTGACTCCTTACCAATTGAAGAACAGGCTAAGGAATTGCAGAAAAGGATTTAAGCTATGATGAACTTCCAGTTGGTCATGCCCTAGGCGTAAATTGGTCAGTAGAAAAATATTTATTGGGCTTCGAGATTAACACCCCAGTTTGTCAACCTACAAAAAGAGGAATATTGTCAGTCGTAGGGTCACATTATGACCCTTTGGGATTACCAGCCCTATTTACTCTACCTGCAAAACTGTTCTTACAAGAACTTTGCCAACAGGCCATAGGATGGGATCACGAAATAGAACCAAATCAACTAAATAGATGGAATAGATGCTTAATCAGTTTGCCAGATTTAGAACAACTTTCAACTCCGAGATGTCATAAACCACCGGACTTTGGAGCCATAACAAGGCTTGAACTCCACCACTTTAGCGGTTTTGGGACTATCTCCTATGTTAGACTTGTCAATCAAGAAGGAAGAATACATTGTTCGATTAAAGGACCAATCAACACTGCACTGATAAAGTTCCGGAGATATTTTTGACTGATTCCATTCTTTAGTAGCGTCTTTGAACTCATTTTCGCTACGATGAAATTAGTACCATTATCAGTGAGAATAGTTTTAACTGTAGATCTGCGAGCAATAAAGTGTCTGAAGACATTTATACAGGAGTTGGTGTTCTGGGAATGTGCCACTTCCAGATGTATCGCACGAGTTTGTCAGGCAGGTAAAAATGACACCATATCTCTTCGCTAAACTTCGACCACGTTTAATTTCTATAGGTCCAAAAAAATCTGCTCCCTTTTGGGTAAAAGGAGGACCATTACACTTCAGACGATTGACGGGCAAATCTGCCATCTTTTGCTCAACTACCATTGCTTCATATTTCCTACAGATAGCACATCTTGATACTATGGTCTTTATTGCAAAATTAGCCTTTAATATCCAGTATTTTTGTATCAGTTCAGCTAAAATAGAGTTTTTGCCAAGGTGACCAAGACGTCGATGGATGTAATCTATAATCAGAGATGAAATAAAGAAATTCTTTGGCAATACAATTTGACGTTTAGCGTTCTCTTCAATAGTAGCTAGACTCAATCGACCACCAACTCGGAGTAATCCATTTTTGTAGACTGGATCTAATTTGGTTAATCTGCTACTTCTCTTAATAATCTTTTCCGTATTGTCAGTGTTCTTCAAAATCTGGACCTTTTCAGCATTTTTAAAATATTCATATTGCAAGGGGTTTGGAGTGATTTGTTTGCTTGTATTCTTTAAATTTTCTCTTTCTTGTTTGACTTTCCTCTCCACTAATTTCTTCAATAATTACATAAGGACTAGAATCCATCCTACTGCTTTCCTCAGTTTTGTCCAGCAGGAAAAATAAGTCAAATATTTGTTAGTCGTTGAAACCGATTCATCTAAATTAGTCATGTGAACAGCCCTCTTTACTTCATAGTCATTATCAGGCATCGACATGTTTATGTCTGTTTTTGGCCATTCTTCTTCAGTTCTCCATAAAAACTCTGGTCCTTGTAACCATTTATTACTCTTTGTGCGGTCTTCAATTTTCAACTCTCTACTGGCATAGTCTGCTGGATTAGATGTGGAATCTACCCAATGCAACTGATCAACTCTGGAACCCTCATGAATAATTACCAGTCTATTTGAGATAAAAGTTTGGAATCTGGTTTTGTCGTTCATAATTTACCGAAACACTGACATGCTATCAGTCCAGAAGAAAGTGTCATAAAATCTATAATCCATCTCTTCAGATATCAGTTTGTTCATCTTTACAGCTACAGTAGTCCCAGCCAAGTCTATCCTTGGTATAGTCTTTTTCTAGTCTTCTGCATCCCATTTTGGTGGTATCTGGGAGCGGCAGATACGAACTATCAGAAATATTATTTACTCTATGTTGAAAGAGCAAGTCATAAATTTGGATGATAAGAACTTGTCAACCCTCTTTTGCGAAATAGAGTCAATAATCAACAGCAGACCAATCATACGAAATTCTAATCATCTCCTTTTGTTAAAATTCAACCCTGACTTACCCCCGGGGCTCTTTTAAAGAGATGATTGTTACACCCGACGAAGATGGGGACAAGTACAATACTTGACAAATTTGTTTTGGACCCGCTGGGTGAAAGAATATTTACCAACACTTATTACTTGATAATTTGGCTCACAGAAGTAGTTGGGCCCTCGTATAGTTATTGAAGTTATGACAGACAAGAAAGTTTTTGTGCGATTTGTAAAAGTCAACTCAAACACGACCTCTTTATGGATTGTGCTTAATATTAGAATCAGAAATAATTTTATTATTGAGGTGTTTAGCATTTGACCTTTGTGTTTATGGAATGGGTTATTGTGTCGGTTTTGACCTATACAATTAGGGGACCGCAATGTTGAGGTCAAAAGGCTTAAATATTTGAAAATTGACTGAATAATGTAATATTGTATTTAATCTTGTGCAAAAGTACGTGCAACTTAATTTAGTCGTTTTTCCTTCATAATTAATTTGGAATCCAAGTCCGCGAATTGAACGTTCTCGACACTGATTTTTTAGACACTGGGACAGCAAACAAACTCGGAAACAATCAAGGAAACATTATTAACATTTTCGTGCATCTAATAACTGTAATTATCAAAGTATTTAAGGATTAGAAACTTTAACTGAAAAACCACGTGGTAGACCGGATTATCCGGAACTTATATACCGCCATAGAATTAATCGTATAAGTGATAATATAAAAATTCTATGATGCCTTTGTCTGTGACCTACTTTATTTGTTTATGTTCATTATTCTAGTGTCAAGTGGGCAGTCAATAAGGCGTTGTACAGTTGATTTGAAACCTTGTTGAATTTGAAGGTTCTGTGCAGTGGCTTGATCTGTTTACATTTCCCTTCATAATTCTGCATCTCAGAATATCCTTAGTTGTGTCTTTGCATGTGGAAATTAGTTAAGTACCACTTACTTACATGTAGGATATGGGTTATTATTTTAATAGTGTGCTTATTATGTCAAACTTTGTATTTTTTAGTAAATCAATCAATGAATAATAAGTCAATCATAAAGCAGTAGATTGAGAATGTCATTAAACTGGGAAGAACATATTAATAGAGAATTAAAGAATATTAATGTTGTATAAGAACATTCCTGTGATTATAGTATACATGTCCTGTATGGTGTATAGTTGAAGTTGAGAAAATTAAAGATAGATACATTGTACTGGACCCTTTAGAATATTGTGATCACACTGTTTTACATCTGTTTTGTCACCAAGAAATATGGTATCAGTGCAGGTGCCGTGTTCAAGCAAGGATGTGAAATCATGGAAGAATGAAGAAAAGGGAACATGATTCTTCTTAGATACGGGGGTCAATATATGCACACTGAGGAGAAAGATCTTGACAAATGTCGAATATGTAGATTTAGTTCTTGAGAGAATGGAAATTCACTGAAGTGCTGTTATTTTAACTCAAGTTTTAAATCAAGTCAGTGTTAATGTAAAGGGTACTCAAAATCTACTTAGTTCCGGTAAATTACTTAGGCTAAAATCAATGTAAACTCAGCCTTATTTTGAAAAACAGGTAAATGATCTGCTTGCTTTCCGAGCTAGCACACTAATCCTGATTATCACTTCTATTCAGTCCTTGACAAAAATATTCTGGGTTCGAGATCCTGGCGTAGGCCGAGAAGAACTTTGAATTTTTTAAGCTCATTTATGTCAGGGCTGAAAAAGAAATTTTGTCTTGTCGTTCAGATGGTACCAAAATATGAGCTCCAACTGTGTACAAAATAACCCTCTAGAGTTTGAATGCGATGACATGTGACCATAGAAAAAATAAGTGTAATTTAGTCTCAAAATGAAGTTAGGTGATGACTAGGCATTCCATTCCATTACATTCTTGGTTTTCATAAATCCATCAACAGATTATTCTATCATGAACCCTTGTATTGAGAACTTGCGTACATTTTAATAGTCTAATGACATTCAAGATTTACCGCAGTTATTTGTTTTGCAGGCTTCATCCGCTAGCCCACCATACTCACCATCTAACTTGCCTTTAAAATAATAATATGGGCTTATGACTGTTCAATATAGGGAATTTTATTTACTCTTGTATCTCTAGTATCCCAATAACGTTTTTTTATGGGTAGGTATAGCATTTAGTAATCGAAAAAGCAAAAAGTCACAATATCCCACACTACTGGGGCCTTATTCATGAAACTTTAAATTAAAATATTTTAGGGATATAGCCTTTTCAAAACTGAATAGAACCATGGATTATGGTATTTAAATAGTACTAGGGTTTGGAGAACAGACTGCAAATATACCAAAGCATTATCGTCTTACCAAAGGTATATTCAAATTCGCACATTTTCCCGTAGTATTCTGGAAGACAGTTACATTTAAAATCTCCATTTTCTAATTTGATACATGTTCCATTATACAAACAGGGATTGCCATAACATTTATCTGTATAAATATCAAAATAAAAACAAAGGTGGTAAAATCTTGAAAATATTAGCCATAAATGTACAATATTAAAGACAATGATACTAGAATTAAAGAAAGTATACTTGTTCCGTAAAATTTGATAAAGCTGAACTGCAGGTTAATCATATCCATAAAAAAAATTGGCAAATTGTACTGACTTGGAAATTCCAAGCAAGGAGTAAATTATGGTCTGATATTTACACCACTGATTTAAAACTACAGAGGTATTACCACAAGGATGAGATATATTTTGTCTAACCTGGATATGATGTGGTTGTTGTTTTATTTGCGGCAGTATCCGACCCAAATAAAACCGCTTCTGAAAAAAGACAGACATTTACAGGAGATTAAACCTCTTCGATTTAAGTAAATATATTCTTCACAAGTGTTTTAGTATCCGTAAAAATTAGTCATAATTTAAACTTCAGGAAAATATAATATTCACTTTAAAGTTTAAGTAAAACAAGCAATTGCCATGCAAGATACGTCCACATTTTGTAAGAGATGGACAGGGAACAAGCTAGAAAAGCGATAAGGGGCCATAATCCGGGAAGCTATGCTCTGAAATGCACGAATATCGAAAAGAGCAGCCATTTTGTCGATTTTCCTGAAATTTGAACTCCACCTTCTTTTTAAAATTAGATAATAATTGTGACTTGTACAGGGTCCACATTCTACAAAGGTGATTTTTCGTACAATCAGGGGCTATAATCCAGGAAATTATGCTCTGATATGCGCGAATATCGAAATGAACCTAGGTCTTTGGAATATAAACATACATTTTAAGATTCATCAAATTCGGATAAAAATTGTGACTTATAGAGGGTCCACAACTTTTGGTATTACATATACTCTCCAGGAAAAGATTCCAATTTAAACTACATGTACACTTTCTTAGCCATATTTGTTAGTTTTTATGCCTTTATCTACAATATATTGGATATAGATAGATAGATCTATAATAGAGGATACTCTTCAAAAAAAAAAGGTAGGAGATATTCAGAAACAATACAAAACTGCGGAAATGCACTGCTGTTTCTATTAGAGGTAACCAGTGTATGTTAATAACAGGCCAATTGCCTACACATGAACGCAAACAGTTCATTTGGGCGGCTTATCTGACGGCCCCATTTCACTCGCAAAGAGATACACTGTCAAAAGTAAAAATGGACGTTTTTGATTTCTGTCTTAATAATGAGTAATTGCACCACCAATCCGCAGACATTCAGCAATTCGTCGTGGCATGCTCCTAATCAACCGCCCAATCACGATTTGAGGCAATCTGACCAACTCCTCTTGCAGTGCCACTGCCAATTCTTGCAGTGTTGTCGGTTGACGTTGACGTCGATGAACACGTCTCCCGATCACGTCCCAGGGGAAGGTCAGGACTCATGGCTGGCCAAGGCATTTGGACAATATGGTGACGTTGGAGGTAGTCATTCACGACACGAGCGCGGTGGACACGGACATTATCATCTTGAAAGATGAAACGTCGACCTGCACGTTGAGCAAAGGGCAGAACTATCGGTGGCAGGATGTGGTCACGGTAGTACAAACCAGTGACCCTTCCTTGAACAATATGCAAGTCCGTTCTGCCAGTCATGGTGATTCCTCCCCACACCATAAAAGACCCACACCCGAATCTGTCATGATGTCTGACGTTAACGTTAGCATGACGCTCATTTACACGCCTCCAAACGGGAGCACGCCTATCGGTGAAATCCAGAGTACATCTGGACTCATCTGAGAACATTACACGCGCCCATCGACGATTACCCCAATTTCTACGCTGCCTAAACCATTGACGCCTGTTTGCTATGTGCTGGCGAGTTAATGGAGGCACAACACGCGGTCGTCGCGCATGCAAATGGGCTGCATGTAGCCGATTTCTAATCGTTTGGGGGGTAACTCGAATTCCTGTAACTTGGAACAAGTTAACAGAAAGCTAATTGGCCGTTTGTCCTCGATTTCGCAGGGCCTGTGTACAAATGTATCGATCCTGGGCTTGTGTAGTAGCTCTGGGACGACCTGAACGAGGTCTATTATCAGCATTGTGTATTTGTTAGTACCGGTTCCACAGTCTGCTGATCACAGACTGTTGACACATCAAGCATGTTGGCTACTGCTCGCTGTGTAGACCCCCTTTGAAGTATGCCAATAGCACGTAGACGTTCATCATGTTGAAGACGTATCAATGCAAATTAAACGTAACACACTAAAGCAAAGATACGCTAAATAGTAAATTTTATGCAAGAACCGATAGGAAAGCAAACATGGATAGAATAAACCAGCACGCGGTAGTTTTCATCAACCCTTCCTTGAAGTGTCAAATTTGAAAATGAACCCCTCCCACGTGTATGGCGCTATTGCGTGTCATCTGTGAACATACTCTCAAAGCATGTCAAGTGTCCATGACTATTTATCATATCACAACCTGCATAGGTATTTGCATTTCAATATCCCCTACTTTTTTTTGAAGAGTATATTTTTACACTATTTGCGTTCAAGGGGCGGTCATTTTGTCGGGCAGTTTCAGTCCGATTATTACCAAATTCGAACTCAATCATCATCAAGGTGTAACGGTGATATGTTTAAATGATTTTTAAAATCGGATAAAAATTGTGACCTCTAGTCTGACCTATAAAGGGTCCACAAGCTAAAATCGCGATATATTCGTACAATTAGGAGCCATAAGCCAGAAACGTACGGTCCGACATGCGTGAATATCAACAGGAACTAAGATCTTTGGGACATAAACATTTCATCAAAATCGGATCAAAATTGTGACCGCTAGAGGATCCACAACCTTGATATTACATACTATAACACTACTTGCGTACATAATGCGGCCATTTTGTGCGGCAGTTTCGGTCCGATTTTCACGAAATTCGAACTCAATCATCATTACGGTGAAACAGTGATATATTTGGACGGTTTTTTTTTTAAATCGGATAAGATTTGTGACCTTTAGGGAGACCACAATCTAAAAACGCGTTTTTCCGTACAATCAGGGGCCATAATTCAGAACGTTGCGGTCCGATATGCGCAAACATGGTTATAAACATACATTTCAACTTTCCTCTAAATCGGAAAAAAAATGTGACATCTAGAGTGCCCACCAGCTAAAAACGCGTTTTTTCGTATAATCAGTGGTCATAATCCATGATGTTTAGATCTGATACATGCCCATATCGAGAGGAACCGAGATCTTTTGGAGATAAGCCTATATTTCAAGTGTCTTCAAAATCGGATAAGAATTGTGGCCTGTAGGGTGTCCACACACAAATTGTGGACCGACAGGGGCGACGGCAATATACGCCCACATGAAAATGTGATTTTGTACAATCAGAAGCCATAGTCCATGCCAATATCGACAGGAACCGAGATCTTTGGCATAATAACCTATATTTCAAGTTTCGTCAAAATCGGATAAAAATTGTGACCTGTAGAGTGTCCACAAACAAAATGTGAACAGACACATATTGATCAATCCTACACTATAGCCATCCAAAGTCACTTCTATAACAGAACGTCAGTCTGCTACCAGAGAATAACAAGTTTGTTTCCATCGAGGCCAACAGTAACTTAAATTCGACCATCTCTTGCTAAAGTTATGACCATTAAAAGTTTACACTGGTTTCTATTCATATTGATATATATTTTTAACAATCTGGCGTCTTGTACCTTTAATTACATGATCAACTTACGTGGAAGTATTTCACAGTTTTTACCAGTGTAATCCATCATACAGGAACAGGTATAGGTCGATCCTTCGCGCATACAACTTCCATTATTTAAACATGGATTATTAAAACACGGATCTGTGATATAAAATCAATAATATCAAAACAAACTTTAGATTTAAACACAGTTCACTTAAGCTTACCATCTTCATTAGCCCAGTCGGAGCATAACAGTAGGACGTTAAACGCATTTCATTTCATTTCACTTAAGCTGAAGTCGTACTTTATTACAATATGAAGAGCTAAGTTTATAAGAAGATACAAACAAACGGTTGCCATACAAGATACTATCATATTTTGCAAGAGAAGGACAGAGAATGCGCTAAAAAAAAGGTAGGTTGCCAGGCAACGAAACATACGCCCACAGCAACTAAATCGTCATGAGTTGTCGCTTATTTTTACTTCTGTTGGCAATGGAACATTTATAATATGTATAATATATATTTAAAATCTGATTAAGAGTAACAACTCATTAAGTAATTATCAGAAAATCATTAGAATTTGTTTGGTCCATGCTAACGTTTAGTATACAAAACATTTAATACCATAGATTTAGCTGTTCAAATTACCAAAAATCATTGAAAATCAATATACTTGTTCGTCTGAAGACCCTAAATCCACAAGATGTTTTAAAGTCATCAAGGGTCATAACTCTTGCAGTAATTATCGGAAATCGTTGAAAATCAACAGGTTTCTTCGTCTCATGACCTTAAAGTGTCACTACAGACCCGTGACTGTACAGCGCAGTGGACGCTTACGGTTAGCCCCCGGATACATTCACTTTTTTTGAATTGTCTGTCTGTTTGTGTTTTCCTGAGTATGATGCCTTGTCCGTGTATTTGTTTTTGTGTAAATTTTGTATCGTGCAGTCCCCCTGCACTTACTATTAGAGCATCTACAAGATATTTCAAAGTTATCAAACTCCATAACTCTGGCAGTAATTATCAGAAGTCGTTGAAAATCAATAGGTTTATTCGTCCGATGACCTTAAATACTGTGAATAAATTTAAAGTCATCGGATATTAGAGCGTCCACATGATTTTACAAAGTGATCAAGGACTATAACTGTGGCAGTAATTATCGGACATCGTTGAAAATCAATCGGATTCTCCGTTTCATGACGTTGAACACTTTGTATAAATATAAAGTCAATCGGATACTAACTTTAGCCTCTAGAGCGTCCACAAGATTTTTCAATCAAGGGCAATAACTCTTGCGGTAATTACTGGAAATCGATGAAAATCAACGGGACTCTTCGTCGCATGACCTTCAACTCTGTGTATATATTTAAAGTCAATCGGATATTAACTATAGCCTCTAGAGCGTCCACAAAATTTTTCAAAGTGATCAAGGGCCATAACTCTGGCAGTAATTATCGGAAATCGGTGAAAATCAATAGACTTCTTCGTCTCGTGACCTTAAACACTGTGCATAAATTTAAAGTCAATCGGATATTAATTTTAGCCTCTAGAGCGCCCACAAGCAATTGTGGCCGACGGACGGACGGACGGAGGGAGTCGACGCAAAATATACGACCACATTTCAATGTTGGAGTATAAAAAAAGCGATTTTTTTGCACAAACAGGGGCCATAATCCAGGAAGCTACGGTCCGATATTCACGAATATTGAAAGGAACCGAGATCTTTGGGATTTAAACATACATTTTAAGTTTGATCAAAATCTCTAAAGGGTCCACAACCTTGGTATTACATGTACATACTTTTACACTATTTGTGTACAAGAAGCAGCAATTTTGTTTCAGTCCGATTTCCACAATCGGATGGAAATTGTGACCTATAGAGAGTCCAAAAGCTAAAATCGCGTTTTTTCGTACAGTCATACCAATTTTGGTATGCTTTTCACGAAATTTGAACTCAACCATCATAAGGGTGTAACGGTGATATATTTAAAAGTATATATATATATATATATATATATGAAAAGCTAAAGATAACTACTCTTAGGTATTAGATACACAAAAATATAAAATTTTTTGAAAAAAGAACTACATTATTTGTCGATTACTAGCACTTTCGCTTATTTTATTAAGCTCTTCAGATAATCACAATTTTGGTAATACAATAATGATTATGACGTCATAGCGTCATAGTAACACAGAGGGAACATAACTTTAATATCAATTCAGAGAACAATAACTAGGCCTATATACAATGTAATTTATTCAATTTTGCATTTAAAGCTGGCCGATATTTCTCAATAAAATATGCCTCTTTGGCTTCTAATAAATCATTATTATTGCTATTAAGCTTGTACATCGGAAAAACGCTAAATTTGCAACCACCACAAACATATATATGTGCACTAAGGGGGATCATCCTATAATGTGGATTGAGTATATGATGTCGATGGAGGTTCATCCTTGTCTTTAGCATACTTATAGTTTTTCCAATGTACCGTCTATTACAGCCTGAACAAACAATCACATATATGACATAACTGGTTTTACAGTTCATGGGTTGCTTAATATGAAAGAATTTGTTATCGGCGATTTGGATTGAGGAGCCCTTCATTATTATTTTACAGGTCTTGCAATTTATTTCTCCACATTCACTTACCACCGGTGTATCTGGACTACTATCAAATTTTGAAGATGTTAAGAATTTAGCTAGATTTCGTGGCTGTTTAAGACTGTTAATAATCTTAGTTTTAGACAAAACTTTTGACATAACCTCACTATTCTTAAGGATGTGTAAATTATTTTTTATCAAAGACTTCCCATCTTCTTGTGAAGGGTTAAATGTAGTGACCAAAGCAACATTTAGCTTTTCGCATGCTGAGGATGTTCTTGGTAGTCTTAATTTTGTCTGATCTAGACTTAAGGCCCGAATCGTTGCATCTTCTATGAGACCTAGAGGATATTCTTGTTTCAATAAGAATGTTTTTAATTCCTCTAGTCGCTTAACTTTGACAAGCGGGTTGGAAACAATGGTACATACTCTTCTAGCTAAATTATATGGTATGTTCCGTTTGGTATGAGAAGGATGACAAGAGTGAAAGTTTAGATATTGGTGGGTATCTGTTTGTTTGTAATAAAGATCCGTTTCAATCACCCCTTTTGGTAACAGATTAAAGGTTACGTCCAAAAAGTTTAATGATGTTGGGCTAAAATCTATAGTGAATGTGATATTAGTGTCCAACTCGTTCAATAATTTATGTAATTTGGAGATAACTGCCATATCTGCTTTAAGTATTGTAACGCGGTCATCCAGGAAGCGAAACCACAGTGTTTTTATCATGTCACTGAATTCTCTATCAAACTCAATAGCAACCCTCTCATACCAAATCTCTTCTAAATATCCTAAAGATAAAGTTGCATAGGTGGGGCCAACTTTAGTACCCATGGCCACACCTTTAATCTGTGAATAATAATTATTATCGAAATAAAAAATATTGTTAGACACAACTAAGTCCAAAGCTTCCAGGATAAATGATTTAGTGAAGCGTTTTGATAGTAACTCAGGATATGTGTCAATCCAATATCCAATCGCTTTCAATCCTAGATTTCTATCTATGTTGTTGTAGAGGCTGACCACGTCGAAGCTTATTAGTGTGCTTCCAGGTTCAACCTCTTCCGGTAGATGATGAAGAAAATCTATGTCGTCGCGAAGGAAGCTTTTGACTTTGGTGCAAAATGGTTTTAATATGATGTCAATGAAGTTGCTTAAGCGTTGAGTACTACTAGTTGGCCCCCCTACAATTGGCCTAAAGGTTAAATCACGCGGATTGCGAATGTTAACAACTTCGTTTTTTGTAATTTTAACAGCTTCTTGAATAGTCTTGCTTTTATGGATCTTTGGCAATCCATAAAAATAGGCAGTGGAAGGTTGAAAATTACACAAGTAATCTTCTTCTTGTTTGTGAAGTATGTTTGTATGTGCACCAATAAAGTTTTGAATTTTTCGTAGAATCATATCGTTAGCTTTTAGTGAAGATTCTGCGTAATATTCCTTGTTGGAAAGCATTTTTGATATGTTCTCTTTATAAAATGAGGTATCCATAACCACTATAGCACCACCCTTGTCAGCCTTTTTTATAATTATATCAGAGCTATTTTTCAAGGCATTCAAAGCTTTTTTGTGATCAAAATTAAGATTTGATTTGAATGTTTTATTTTGGACTTGGTGCGTTGATGTAGTGGTGATGAATTTATCAAGAAAAATATCCTGTCCAGCACGTGGTGTGAGGGTAGATATGTTCCGTACTAAATATTCTGGTTCTGATTGCCTTGATTCATCTAAATTGGAGTCGTCTTTATGAAAATGATGTTGTAGTTTTAATTTTCTACAAAAATTTGACAGCTCAGACTTTAAAGTACATGTGTCACTTCGTGGTGTAGGGGTGAACTTTAAGCCTTTATGGAGCAAAGAAATTTCCTTGTTGTTTAATGTGACACTATTTAAATTGGCGACTGTTGGATCATTTTTATCTTTTATTAGTTTTTGTATCGAGTTTTCATTCTCAGGCCTCGATCTAAAAAATGGTCATTTTCCATCATGTATTCTACCGTCCTCGTTTTTGGACAGTTAGATTCACTAAAGCCTCTTTCTCGTCGTTCAGAAAAATAATTCTGTTCTCCATACCGACGTGGACGCCTGACCTCTGTCCATTCATTATACTTGTTATTAAAAGTATTGCTTTGAGGTGATTTTCGCTGCTTAGACGTTCTTTGTGGTGACCTTCTCTCTGGTGATCTTCTCTGTGGTGATAGTCTCCTCCTTGACCTTGGAGAGTTGGGGTGATCTACATAAAAGTGGTCCACGGGCGTTCGATTTTCCCTTTGTTGTGGTCGGATATCTTGATTATTTTTCTTCCTTTGACGTTTTTGATCAGGTCGTGGCCCTTTTGTAGGTTTACGTGTCTGATCTTCAAGACAAATTTTTGGGAAACTTAAATTTATCATTCCCATATTTTGTCTCGTAACCATCAAGCCAGTCCTGCTTTTTACCCCACTCTTTTATTGCAGATGTTTCTGCTGCTAAACAATCTTCTCTCCATTCATTGTTTAACAGTTCTAACATATGTTCATTAAGAGCATTTTCATAGAAAAGCTCAGTCA